GGGGATGGTCATACCCACTTTGGCACACATAGCGGCCGCATTGGCCTTGGCAATTTCCAGAAGTTGCTCTTTGCCTGAGGGGAACATAAAAGCCACGTTTCCACCGAGCGGCACAATTCAATGACTGTGAAGGAGGAAAACAAAAGCATTCAAAATCAAACACTTTCAGGTACCCTTCACTGGGGTACAACATGAGTTTAACCTTGAGGTGTCTTTGAAATTATTTTGTCATTGTCATCAGATTAAAAAATATATCCCTACATATTGGGACCAGCATGCCCCAAAAACAAAAACAAACCAATTACTCCTCCCTACTTTTAGCTCTGGGGTTATTCCAACTCTTATATAATTTGACGTAACATCCGTGGATGAATCAACTATATACGCCCGGCGCTGCTTCAAAGCCCGACAAACTTAGTGGCCACACCGCGCGCCCAAAACTCCTTCCAGTGCACCTCTCCGAAGAGGGCCTGAGACTTCGACAGCCCGGTGCACAGAACCTGAATGTCTCACATACGACACGAGACCACTTTTTTTTGCCTTTTTCATGTCATTTTCTCACTACCAGTAGTCACCAACTCACATTATGTTGCAACGGCTCATTCCAGTCAAGTTTGTCTGCGGTGTGTAGTGGGAACTGTGCAGACATGAAGTAGACAATGCATGCAGCGAATTTGTTATATCTGACCTAGTTCACTGATTCGTTGAGAGCCGTCAAGGTTAGCGCTATGTTTCCATGTAGGGGATCTTTTCTTGCGTAGAATGAGCTCAGGCGAGCTGCTCGGCTCTCGTTTCCAGCGGTCCCTCTGGCTATAGGTCCCTCGCCGCCTCCGAGCTCGCGACACAGAGTGTGACCTTCGGGACCTCCGGTTTCTGGACCTGCATCGACCACATGTCGTTTTTCGAAGACTGTTACCACAACTAATCCTCCCGAGCAGATTCGAAACCTACCTCGACCGGGATCGCTTCCTCCTTGAAGAACTCCTGGATCTGGATCTGGAGCTGGACCTCATCCTGTGAGTCCTGCAAGGTGAACTGGATCTCTTCTGCCGCTTAGATGACTTCTCTTCTCTGCTCCTTGACGGGGACTTGGATGGCTTGCAGCGCTTTTTTGCAGGGGATTTCCTCGCACTGGCCGAGATGTGTTCCGATGCCTTCAGCCGTGGCTCAACGGGCTGAACGGGCTCCTCAGACCGCTGAGCCCGACTGGATGGGTTTGGCACAGATGGAGGTGCAGCACAATCTTCAGCTACAACATGAAGGCACAATCAGAGTTTTAGGATGGTCATAAGAGAAGTGGAAGGTAAAACTACCACCAGAATTAAGAAAAAAGTATTTACATAGAAATGGTCCAGCCCAATCTAGATCAAGTTTATGATAATTATCCCCAAAATAAATAAATAAAAAACAAACAAAAATTGCAAAAAAGTGTTTTCATTAACAAATTTAAAAAAAAAAAATACTGAAATGAAAGTACATTTTGCATCGATAAAATTAACTATAATGATGGCGAAAATGTCCCTCATTTTCATCTTAGTCAATTAATATGCTCCGATCGATCGTCCGATTTCCGTGGAAAAGTATGTGATCAGCATATAGCGATCAATGCCTTCCATGGCCGATGACAAAAGCCGATCACTCGCAGCTCGTACTTTGCAGCCAGCAGCCAAGTCGAGCCCAGCCTGAGTGCAGTCCAACGTCCCCTGCCGCTTTCCTTCACAATGGACGTGGTACAGACCAAACGATGAAGTGAATCATAATCGAGGTTTGTGCGCTTTCTGTGCTGTCCATTTGAAATACGGTCCTATTTTTTGTTTAATGAGGGGATGGAAATATGGACATATGGAGTCTGATGATATCAGAATGGGCAGCATAAAAGCCTCGATCTGTACCTGAATGTTCTCCGGCGGCTCTTGCTGTGGTCTCTGCCGGCACGTGATTATGGTCCAAACTCTGCTGTTCTATATCTCTTTTTTTAGAACTTGGAGACAGCGGGTGTATGCTTTTTGCGGCATCGTCTTTGGACTCTGTGGACGGGTCCAAACCATCTCTCGTGTCTAAGGACCTATGCACAGACGCATATTTTCAATCCCTACAATTTCAATGATTTGAGCATTTTTGGCCGTATTTCATACGTCCTTCGGTGCGCAGTACCTGGATGAGGTGCGGTGACCTTGTGAACTGGAGTGTGAGCGAGATCTGGCTTTTCGTTTGCCGGGTCGAGAACTCCATCCTTCCGAGCTGGAATGTGAACCGTGGGAATGTGAACGGGAGCGTCTCTTTTTTCCCCCGTCTGGTTTTGCTCCACTGGAGCTGTCCTGGGTTGAGCACAGACGAGTTAGTTATCTTCAAGCTTTAAGTCGTAGTAAGTTACTTTGACCATGAATCACGTCGGATCCCAGTTAAGCTTCTTCTTCGTCTTCCTTTTACCTGTTTTGGGATGATATCAGGCAACTCCTCACAAGGCCTTGGCAACAAGCTTGGAGCACATTTACTCCTCCTCTGCTTTGTATCAGAATCAGATGAATTTCCTTGTCTCTCGCTCTTGTGCCTCTTCCTCTTCTTCTTCTTCTTTTTCTTCTTTCCTGTTTTGTGCTTGTGACTTCTGGAGCTACTGTCAAGGCCTTGACCTGAAATAACAAGTCAAGACCAAGTGTGAAAACAGTTAAGTTTCCAGTTCATATTCATATGGAGAGGATAGAAAACACTTACATGGCTGTTCATTATCCGTTGGGGCTCCTTTTCTGAAAAATAATTTAAAAAAAAACGAGTTAACAAAAACAACATTAAAAAAAAAAAAAAACTCTTCCTATTGTTTGGCCAGTGTGATTTTTTGATCTGTCAGTCTTACCTGGAATGCGCAGAAAATTCTTCCTCGGATTCGGAACTGCTCTCTTTTGCCTCCTTCTCTCGTTTCCGCTTCTTCTTCTTACTTTTATGTTTTTTGTGCTTCTTGTGTTTCTTCTTTGAACTCTTGTCATCACAATTTTTGTCTTCGTTATCCTTTGAGGTTATTTCATTGCATGCAGCCACAACTTGAGGAGCACTGTCGTAACGATTGAATAAATAAGACAAATATTATGCACCCTGAAAAACAAGGACGTCAAATTCCTTTTTGTCGCGGGCTTCCCTGAGAGGGCCGTTACGAGGGTGAAACCAAATGAATGTTTAATCATCTCATTGTATTATTACATATACACAACAAAATGATGCATTGTTTTGAAATCAGAAGTCAAGGATAACAGATTCCTATTTTTTATTTACTCTATACTATTCATGTTCAAGGCATTTTTTAATGATTCATTTGAGTAAAAAAAAAAAGACAAATTTAATTAAAATTTGCAAATTGGGGAAACGAAATAAAATGATTTTCTTTAAAAATCACGTGTAATGCGTTCTACATTCTCTATGACTGAGGGGGTATGACATAAAGGTTTGGGGGTACACCAGCCATAAAAGGTTGGGAACCACTGCTCTAAAAGGATGTTATGCATGGGCTGCATCAAACATTTTGGCCATATCAAGATAATCACACTTGATTTTTATTTACATCGCCAGAGCTGTTGTTCAAGAAATATGAAACATGATACTAATCGCTAAAGATCTGATTGCCTTATTAAGCTTCTTGAGAGGATCGTAATATTAAAAACAAAATCACCAGATGCAGTGTGATGAAGTGCAGTTCTGAAAGTACTGTAAATTACAACAACGCAATGAAAGGGAGAAATTGTGAATGACTACTAATTCATCAGTCAATCACATTCAAAGATGTGCAGTCCAAACTACTACTACTACTTGACTTGAAGAAAATGTCATGTTGCATTCTAGGAATAAGCAACTCATGAATACGGTTTGCGTTTTGAAGACAGAAGTGCAATCAGCCTGCCATGCCACGCCGCCATTAGTCTATGTATACACAACACTGTATATAAGCCATTGCTACGCCGTTGCATTTTGTTTTAAGGAATAGGCAGGGTATACAAACGCAAAAATGGTTTAGCGGCCACTTTTAACGTTTTGCTCAAACCGAACATGTTTAGACTTCTGTTTATTGGCGACATGAGTGCAGCTACAATGCAGGGAAAACTCAATATTGACATACGTTTTGTCGACATTCTGGTCTTCAATTTCTCTGATTTTATTTAAAATAAAATCTTGAAAAATTTGCTCTATGTTGGCTGCCATTTTTAAAGTGTGCAGCTAAAGGTTCCGGCTAGGAGCTGTGGCAAAGTCAAGGTTCCGGATCATGCTTTGGTTCCTCTCCTTATGTTTGTTGACTGCGTCCCTTGTTTTATTTTTTTCTTCAGAATAATCAACAATGAAAAAGAATGTCGGGTTGTGTGTACTTATTTAAAGCGGATATAGGAGTAGTGGCTTTCAAAAAATTACATTCAAAAAATATTTAACTTGAAGCCGAAGAAACTTGGCTCGACTGCTTGAATGCTTCAAATGATGGAAGATCGTGGACAGAAAAGTTGTGATGTGGGAATAACATATCGTGGCATTCCATGACATAACAACCTGAAGATCATTCCAATGTCAGCGCAAGGATCTATTCGACCGGCAGACAGAATGCTCCCATTGCTCTGTCATGCTGATCTAGGGGGCATTATTGCACAGTATGTCGGGATAGTTGTATGACGTCACATATTGGGCACATGCGCACAGAGAGAGAGAGAGAGAGAGAGAGAGAGAGAGAGAGAGAGAGAGAGAGAGAGAGAGAGATTAAATAGACAGAGGGACAGATACTGTATAGATAGACCGACACATGTATGTTGTTAATCTATTTATGCCAGAAACACATAGTGACAGGCAGAACAATTAAATGCTCTTCCATTACATGTCCAAATGGGGCAATAAACGTGTGTGTGCGTGTGTGTGTGTGTGTGTGTGTGTGTCCACGATATCAGCTTCGTGTTCAATTCAACAGGCTCAGGTTTCACAAGTCAATTTGGGAGTAAATTGTTCCTTGGCACAAAAAAGGCTGGGAGACACTGCTGTATAATACTCAAGTCATTTCTTTTATTGGCTTTTAGGCTCAGCAACAGTGATTTCTAGATCAGAATACAATTCTTAGCACATCATATACGGTATGAAGCCAAACTCTGACAAAAAAGATGGCCCAGTTTTATATATATATCTTTTTTGGGGGGCATGGCTGGATAAGGCCAAACCACCATGTTGCCACGTTCCACAGATGAAAAAGGCCTTGCTGGGTCTGTCATACATTGACAGTTCTGTAAATGAATGAATCACAGAACAAGTCTAACAATTTCTTGCTAGTTTACAAGGAAAAAAAAACAAACAAACGGGACTTCCCATTGCTCTTTTCACATAGAAACGACAACGGTGACAACACTGCGAATATTACATTCTCATTTCAGAGCAGTATTAGACTGTAAAGATGTACACGTTGACTATACATACGCCACACAAAACAGTTACAATATTAAAGATGTGATGTCACACACCCACCATTTCAAAATTACCACCACTGAAATCTGAAATTTAGTGGAGCGTAATATGGTCATATGCAGCTTTTGTATTTTATTGAAAAGCCATTTTTTTCCCGCCCACCCAACACTTGATGTTTCCTTATAAGCATGATGCTGCATTTATGTTGCGTGGTCATCTTTTGTCAATTATAAGCTCATCTCATGCACACGTTAGTAATAGCACATCTAACAAATCCATAAACCAAGTATCCGATCGTGACATGAAGCATGAACATGAACATAATGTTTACACACTTCAAAACCGAGTTCTCCATCATCCCAAACCCTCGAATTGCGGAGAGCAGTTGTTATCGTACAGCTGAACGTCTCAAAAAGAAGTCCCGATCTTTTCCCAAAAGACACAATTACAGCATCTGATTCTAAGTTGGTCTCCTCGCCAACGGGACAATGCCGCACCTCCAAGGTACCTTCCCAAATGCAGAGAGCAAACCTCAGAGAGCACATCTTCTGCGCCGTATCGGTGACATCACAGGGGATGTTTTACCAGCTGTCACTCCAGTGCTGCCAACTGCTCAACGCCGTGCGTGTAATCGGGCCGGCGCGTCTGGACGATCTTGGGCCGCGCGGTCCTCGCCGCGTCGTCCGGCTCGCCGTCATCCCGAGCCGAGCTGTCACCGAGCTCTTCTTGGCAAACGTGGACGACGACGCTGGGGGTGGTGGGCGTGGCTGTGTGCAGCTCATATTTGTCGCCTGGAGGTAAGTTTTGTAGTTAGTTGGTAAGAGAACTACAAAACTTAGTTCGTTAGTAAGAGAACTACAAAACGGTCGTATGTAGGAATTCATCGATGAAGGAGTGCAATCCTTAACGACCACTGGGGCTACTCAATGAACTTATGAGTACAATGGAAAATGGATTTTAGAGTGACAACGTTAAGATTTTGTCAGAGTTGTATACAGTAAACTGCACGGAGGGCGGGGTGGGGTGGATTGGAAGCCAAAATAATGTCCAGTTTAAAAATGTTGCCATTGCCCTCTGGTCATTTGGAGGATATTCTCCAGCCAAATGGATTCTATTCTCAGACCCTCATCCTCACTGGCAGTAAATGCCCCAAAAGATGAGTTCAGAGGCCTGTGCCCCGTTTTGTAGAAAATTCAGATGTTGCTTTGCTGCAATGTAATCTTACGATCTAATTAACCAGCAGGGGTCAAACGTCTTCTCTCCCACAATTTTGCGCTAGGTGGAGTCAGTTACATTCATAAATAGAATTTCACAAGACGAAACAAACACTCTAAAGTCATTTTCCAACCTAAATCTATTGATAGTAGTACATTGGTGCACATGAGTTAAATCTGTTTTAATTATATGAAGACGGAAAGGATTCAAATGTACCTGGTCCTAGTTTGGAAATGGCACACAGCAGGTCATAGTTGACGACGGGCATGGCATCCTGAGACTGCTCCCAGCCCACCGGAGGTGAGGCGGGCGGTGAGATCAGGAACTGCTTCTCGGGCTTTGGAGGCTCAAGGCGAGGACTCCCGATGTGGACAGACTGCGGGGAAAAGACAATGACCGTAAGTCCTGGCAAAATTTTACAGAAAAAAAAAAACCTCAATAAAATAGTGTGACTCGCAGACGTCACCTGAGCAAAGTAGAGGCGCATCTCTTTGCCGTGAAAATCAGTTTTGTGCAGCCGCAGTCTCGCCTCTGCCGCAGCCAGCGCGTCGCTAAAATTAATCCTGACTCGACGGAAGGACTTGAAGTACTGGAACTGAGCTTCTGGGTCAAAAGCGTGGAATAGCGCCTCAAAGCTGGCCTGCATTGAGAAGGAAGAGAATCCGAGAGAATGGTCAAACCACCAACTCACAAATTGATTGGATCACGATAACTCAAAAGAAATGTGACGGGACCGCCAGCCTCGAGTATTTGTAAAAAGTCCCAGAGGACAACAAAGACAAACACACTTAAGTGTAGTGTCATTTATCTGATGTGCATATCACCGCCCTGATGGTTGAGATCATTTTACAGCTGCGGTCGGCAACCTTTTCTGCACCACAAACCGGTTTCGAAAGGCCGGCTGAAGCAGGTCTGATGAATACGAGCTGACTTGCAGCAAACTTGTACCTTAAGTAAGACTGGCAATAATATCTCTTAGATACAGCTTTGTTTTTCTTGAAAACCGTAGGCCGCAGGTGTCAAAGTCAAGGCCCCGGGGGCCAGATCTGGTCCGCCGCCTCATTTTATGTGGCCCACAGAAGAAAAATCATGTGTGTGTACTTGCGTGATTCTTGCCAAAATGCCAAATGGCCATGTGTAGTAAATAACGTTTAGATTTTCCAATACTTTTGTTACCGTTTACTACTCACTTGAACAATAATTGAACAAACTATTATCGTTGGACTCATTTCAAAACTAGTAACCCATTAATTAGTTTGTGATGCACAAGTAAGAATGCAATGAGACAATTCAACATTTTTGTGGTTTCACTGTCATAACGGCCCGCCGGGGGAATACATAAGTGGCCCGCGACGAAAATGAGTTTGACACCCCTGCTGTGTAGGCTCATCTTTTGTTCCATTATTTGGCCTGTTTGGGGGAAAAAAAAAAGCACTCAGGAAAACCTCTTTTCAGACCCTGATGATCAAGAACCTTTTTTGTTCAGTCTCTCTGTGCGGCCCAACATCTGTCCGCGCCCACTCGATGGGCTCCCCCCCTCCTTTACAGTCACTGATGTAAATAACCCGCCAAGCTTCTGGCCACCATGAACGCCTTCCAAAATGCAAGAGAAAGCTTTTCCTTGACTTTCTTCTTCTTTTTTTTTTTTTTAATGATTCTGTTTGCCAGTTCTCCCCCTTACTTGTAGGGTTTTCTCCACGTACTACAGCATCCTCTCACATTCAAAAAAACATACACGAGGAGTGAACGTAAGCGTTTATGGTTGTTTGTCTATATTTACCCGGCGGAATAGAAACTGTACAGCTCGATGGATGGATGCGTTACAATCACCGTTTATGCAACAAAATAATGAGGATAAATGGCCGTCAGTCAACTGAAACCATGGATTCATCATCCGCCCTTGACCCAGACAGACGCTGTCAACAGTGCGTCGTACGCCTGCCCTAATTCCAGCACCTGGTTGGGACACTGCACCGGAACACATCACAATAAAACTGCCCAGAACTAAAGACAAGGATATCCAAGTTAAAAATCGCATGAAGATGTTTAGTAGCAAGAAGGGCTTTTGGATGGAGGAGGTATCAACGTCACACCAAAACCGGTATCAAAAAGAGGAAGAGAAAGTCCCCATTTCTGTCTGCCGCTGCTGTGCCGCATCACATTCGGATCAGGAAAAGCGGAGGAGCAGACACTTTGCTTACCTGAGCATCGGGATGATTGAACACTTCCCGATTGGTCACGGAGGCGACCAGACATAAGTGGTTACACTTGGTGGTCTTGATGTGCATGGCAGGCAACGAGGCGCGTCGAAATCTCCGCCACTTAATTCTTGAATTCGGGGTTGCCGAGAGGCTCTCGAAAGGCAGTTGAGATGGGGGGGATGAAGGGGAAGGAGAGAAACGGGAAGGTCGGGGAAGCGTCACCTTCTTCGGGGTGACGGGTGAGCGAGAAGTAATCTGGTGGCCAAAAGCAGGAAAACGGGGGAGCTTTTGGATTTTGTCCGAGGCTCTTTCTGAAAGCTTCCTCTGTCCTTACGCGGCACCGCAGTGTCCAAGACCAATCTGCTTTCTTAATGATCCACCGGCTTTGTGGCAATCTGTAAATTGATGGAATTTTCCCGGCATTTAGGGTGTGGAGAAATGGCTCACTCAGTTTCGTCCTCAAGCTCTCTCTGTCTCTCTCTCTCACGCCCCCCCTTTTTAACCAGGCCCCTTTTCTGCAACACGTTGACGCACTGCCCACAGCTCCTGCCCACTAACTCGGCGATTCGCTGAGTTCCGACAGGCAGGGAAAGTGGGAGGAGTTTGTCTATTTTCTCTTGACAAACATCATTCAATGGCGCCTAATCAGACGGAAAGGACAGTGTGTGTCGATTCGGAGGAAAGTCATGACGTCACCTGAGATCTGACACATCAATCGCTCCGTTCAAATCTCATCATCTCAACCCCCTTGGCAAGTCAGATTTTACACGCACAGACCCGGGAAAGCATGTGCAAGACATAAAAGTGAATGAGTTGGGGGTGCGGGGGGGGGGGGGGGGGAAAACAAGGGTGAGAGAGAGAGTGAACAGCTGAGAAAAAAAAAAAAGAAAAAACAGATGGCAGCTGAACAGCAGCAGAAAAAAAAAGGAGTGGAAAGTGTAACAGAGACATGACGGGTAGGAAGAATGCAAACTGGAGGGGCGAGGTATTGCTCATGGAAAGTATGCGGCGTGATAACTCGCTTTTATGAGGTATTAATAGCTGAGAGCGCGAAGAGAATATCGGGTGATGTTATACGGATAACGTGTTAAGTTTAGCGCATGCATTTGTTCGTTTAGCTTAATTTCCATTCAGGTTCACCCTGTATTTCTGCTGCTGCATTTATCAACGTGGCTAAAAAACAAAACAGTATGAAATTGTTCACAATTTAAACATTTACGAGGTACATTAGGAGTGGTGGGTAGTCCGTCACTGAGGGTCTGACGTTTCTCTGGCGGACTGACAACTAACGGAAACGTTGAAGCGGTGACAGAATAAGCGCTGACGGAAGCGATTTTCGGCAGTCGCCCGAACCGTCACGAATGAGAAAAGCAAAGACGACCTTTGGCAAATCGTGTTTTGCGGCGCACGTCTGCACAGAAAGAATGAAAAGTCAAAACGAAAGGTCTGCCGCCATCTGTCTGGTCATGCGGTGCAGTTTGAAGAAAAAAAAAAAATAGGAGTGGTGGGTAGTCCGTCACTGAGGGTCTGACGTTTCTCTGGCGGACTGACAACTAACGGAAACGTTGAAGCGGTGACAGAATAAGCGCTGACGGAAGCGATTTTCGGCAGTCGCCCGAACCGTCACGAATGAGAAAAGCAAAGACGACCTTTGGCAAATCGTGTTTTGCGGCACACGTCTGCACAGAAAGAATGAAAAGCCAAAACGAAAGGTCTGCCGCCATCTGTCAGGTCATGTGGTGCAGTTTGAAGAAAAAAAAAAAAGAAAAGAAAAATCTGCCTTCCCTGGATGTCACAATTGACATAATTTAAAAAAAAGGATAGCTCAGATAGTTCATTCATGAACTTGCAATGAATGTCCCCTTCCTGGCACGATTTGTTTTCTTGTTGTTGCTCGTCAAGCTGCTGAGCAAACCCCCATTCTATACCACAACCAAAACAACACGCACAGCGGAAAATGTTGTAACCTGACAAGTCAGCTGACCCCATGAATCCTTTCAGACACGGACGGTGTAAAAAAGCACCAGGATCACAGAGAGAAGGGAACAAACCACCTTTTTTTTTCCCCCCTTTGCGAAAAGGAATCTCCATTGACTTGAATGTATTCGTTGATTTGACAATGATGCCGTCTCCCGAGAGGAGGACTTCAGTTTTACGGTTTGCATGTCATCAACGTGACCACCATTCTGATCCTTGCTTGCGCAACACATCCGCATACGCACGTTTGTAAAATGCATTCATTCATTCACAGCAAACCATTTTTTTTCCATTTGACGTGCGCAATGGTATGAACAGACAATGGGTAGCATGTCCTGTATCCAAGATGGCCCAATCCATTGCGAGCTTAGTAAGCATCCTGCCGGTTTCCACTGACTCAGACTTTCCAGTGCGATAATGACATCGCAAGCATCAGCATTTGAAATCTGTGAACGGGAAAATATTGACAATTTGGAAAAACGCGAGATCCTTCCTTTGGGTCTGCTTGATAGAACAGTCGCCGTTTCCACTCGCTGTCTTGATTTAATGCCGACAGCGCAGGCGCGATGGACACTGGGTGTGAGAAAACAAGGTTTGACTTTTTCCAAGACCCTTTTTAAGACAATAACGACCAAAACGTCATTCAAATCCAATTCAGTTTCCACGCGGGATATGGAAGCCGCACTTTGTGCGACTGGACGACAGGGAAAAAGAAATCAATCTTGATGCGGGGGTCGCAAATACAGGAGAAGCTTGTCCGTTGAAATGCATCTTCAGCCATTTGAAGTCTAATGTTCACAGTCGTCCTTAATTTGAGTTCCGCGCAAATGCGTCGGCAATGCCGCGCGTTCTATTTCAGATCAGAACTCATTGGGCAATTTACCAAATTTGTCATTCTTGTGCACGACGTGAGGAAGGCAACATTAGGCTATTCGAAAAAAGTGATGTGAAATTGGATGTGAGCGCGCGTTTGTCCCCACGCACACCACAACAAAGCGATGACACGAACCCATGAGGTGTGTCGGGAAAGGTGCAGAACTGGTATCACAAAAGATCGATTTCAAACCCAAACGAGGGGTTTTCCACTTCAAAGTGCGTCAGACAATCGACGGGCGCATCTCGCGAGCAGATCCTTCTGTGCCTGCTTCATTTGCCCGCTTGCAACGCCCGGAGACTCTTACACTTTCTGGCCGATCGAACAACTGCACATCTTTCGTGATGCCAGCCAGGTCTTCTTCCTTTCAGCCGGACGCAATCTCCCTATTCAACATAAATCCAGCGCGGCAGCTTGTTGATGTGCTTCACTTTGCCCTTGTGACATAATGTTGCTATTTCCCCCTATGCCGGGCCGACACGTGGTCATGGAATAACCTTGCGACAGAAATGCCACTTTAAAACTTTCCGTTCCAACAGCTGACATTTGTTTTAATCCGGTCCCCGATTTAGAAAAATGAGGAAGAAGAACAGGAAAAAAAAAACATGAGGACGACGCCGAACATCGTGCCAATTCCGTCGGTTACCAGTCGAGGTGATTAATCGACAGCTAATGATTATCACATTTGTCAACAGCTATTTTAGTAATTGACCCGTCGTTTGAATTGTCTAAAGTCTTCTGATGTCAGCCTCTGAACAGTCATCATTCTCTGAATGTGGTCATCTTTTGTGAAAGGAGACGGATCACTCTTCTGAGTTTCATCAAAACATCTGCTTTTGCTTTGGAAAAAATCAACCTGAGCCAGTCATTGAATCACTTTCAAAAAACTTTGGTGGGTATTATCAATCACTCTCGTGTGACACTGCTATTAATTGTTTTGTTTATCCCCCCCCACCCCAATCACTGCATTGCCAGTGATTCCCAACCTTTATTCATCCAAGGCACATACAGTATTTTAAGTTTGAAATCTCACAGCACACCACCAAACAAAAACTGTCACAAAAAATGTGGAGAAAATTTAGATTGTGCTTTTGAGTGATGATTTAGAGTTGTATGTCGAAAATACAGTGCTTTTTTTTTTGTGCCTGTTTAGCATTTCATTCTATTTAACATTAATTTACGGTATTTTTAAACATTCTGCTGAGCATATGAGTAGTATTAGCAAACAAAGATGTGTATTATTGTAGTTCATAATTTACACTATGTCACTTGACTAATTGATACAGAGTTTAGAAATGTCATGTTTGATGCTGTGATTTTCTGGTAAAGCACAGTGCAATAAAAGCATAAAATCACCCTCATGTTTTGTACCGGTACTCGTACCCGGTCTGGGCTGTTTGGTGGCTGCGGCCCGCTGGGGGTGTCATTTGTGTCAAAACCACTAATGGCTGCTTCGAGATGTGCCACGTATTTTAGCCTCATAATAAACTTCTCGTGACCAATGTGAGAGGGTGTGAAAGGCATGAAACCAAATTTTAACACACCTGCTCCCCATTTACACCAACCATATCTTGTAACACAAACAAGTCACGTGACACTAGTGAGTGAAAATGGCTAACTTGGTCCAATTTCAATATTTTGTTTGTACTTTTGGTGCCAGCCTTTTGGACATTTAATGGCTTTATGTTGAGTTTTGAATGGACAGTAACTCTAAACTGACGACTTGACATTGTAGCAAAAGTGTCATTTCTTCAGTGCTGTCCCAAGTAAAGATATAATAAAATATTGACAACAATATGAGGGGTGTCCTTGCTTTTGTGAGATGCTGTCAATCCAAAACATTCTTTTTTTGTGCCTGTTTCCCCAAATTGCTGGCGTTGGGGATGAAACCTTGTATCTCCAAAATCATCCCTTTTGAATGGACAGTAACTCTAAACTGACGACTTGACATTGTAGCAAAAGTGTCATTTCTTCAGTGCTGTCCCAAGTAAAGATACAATAAAATATTGACAACAGTATGAGGGGTGTCCTTGCTTTTGTGAGATGCTGTCAATCCAAAACATTCTTTTTTTGTGCCGGTTTCCCCAAATTGCTGGCGTTGGGGATGAAACCTTGTATCTCCAAAATCATCCCTTTCAGGAGACCTCCGAAATGGCATGTTTGTTCAACAATTAACATTGCATCATCTAAGAGAGCAAGCCATTTTCAACACTTTAGATTGGTCCAGCAGACGCCAAAGAAATGTGTGTGTGTGTGTGTGTGTGTGTGTGTGTGTGTGTGTGTGTGTGTGTGTGTGTGTGTGTGTGTGTGTGTGTG